TGGATGGCAGGACAGTGCGGGACCTGAAGGGAGGCTTCACGTCGGACAGGAGTGATGTCGGACAGATCGATGTACACACACACACACACACCAGGAGAAGAAAAGGACACACCAGCCATGTGCACTGTAAGTCCCTGTTATTTCTGTCTTAAACTGCTGACCTCTGCGCTGTGCGTTCTTGCTGACCGATGCGCCTTGTGTTCCTGCTGACCGCTGTGCTGTGCGCTCTTGCTGACCGCTGCGCGTTCTTGCTGACCGCTGCACTGTGCGTTCTTGCTGACCGCTGCGCTGTGCATTCTTGCTGCCTGCTGCGCTGTGCGTTCTTGCTCACCGCTGCGCTGTGCGTTCTTGCTGACCGCTGCGCTGTGCGTTATTTCTGCCTTACACCACTGACTTCTCCACTGTGCGCTATTGCCGACTTCTGTACCGTGCATTATTTCTGCCTTACACTGCTGACTTTTGAACTGTGCGTTATTTGCTGACCTCTGTACTGTGCTTTATTACTGACCTCTGTACCGCTGACCTCTGTACTGTGCTTTACATTACTGACCTCTGTACCGCTGACCTCTGCACTGTGCGTTACATTACTGACCTCCTTACCGCTGACCTCTGGACTGTGCGTTACATTACTGAACTCTGTGCGTCATCCTGCTGACCTCTGTACATTTCTGCAGTGTGGGACCTGAAAGAACTACGCTGCTGGAGGCTTCACCTTGTTACATGGAGGCAGCATTGATGACCCTCCCCCCAACACCCCCACCAGGAGAGGAAGAGAGCACCTGAATCAGATCAACTGTGCACTGTAAGTCCCTGTTTTTTTTGGGTAAAGGTGCCCATGCAGCTGACGATTATCGTACGATAATCGCGGATGATCCTGCAAAGTACGATAATCGGCAGGTGTATGGGCAGCGTGTGTCCGCATCTACTGTACGGTCGCACGACATTCGTCTTCCAAGCACTTTGGAAAACCTGCCAAAAATTGTAAGATTTTCGGCGGGTTGGTGGCATGCTCAGAAGACGAAAGCCACATGGGCCAGTGTGCACAAGCGCACACTGCCCGCTCAGCATTACAATCATCAGCAAGCCCTCCCCTCGACGGGGAGGACTTGCAATGATCACAAGTACGATCTGCCTGTCCAAGATGGGCAGATCATACAAAATTGTAATTACCTTACAACCATTGCACAACGAAAGTCGTGCGATGGTTGTAAGGTGTATGGGCAGCTTTACACTGCTGACTTCTGCACTCCGAGTTACATTACTGACCTCTGTACTGCTGACCTTAGTACTGTGCATCACACCGCTGGCCTCTAGACTCCGCGTTGTTACTAATCTCTGTACTCTATGTCACACCACTGACCTGGCGGAGTCAAGTCCGGGGCAGGGTAGGGGTATATATAAAAATATATATATTATAAAAGTGTAAACATAAACACTACTCACTGTGCAGGTACAGGTAATGCATGGATCTTGTCTGTCTGCCCATGTCTCGCCATCTGCAACCCTTCGTCCTTCAAGCTCAACCAAACATTCTATATGGATGAGACTAAGTTAAGTTAGTTAGTGCCAAATTACACTAAGTTGTTTGAAAAACATTAAGTAGGTACTCCATTGGCTAGTGTACATGGCATTAATGTTTACTTATGAATGACAACACTGAATTACCATAGTAAGTAACCATATACGTGGCAGAATCTGGGTATCCATACAAAGGGTCTATTCACGCAGCTGCCGAAGGATCTGGCCATAGCTTCGGACGATCCTTCGGCTAGCTTTGGCCCCAGGACCCCTTCGGTTCAGTAGAACCGAAGGGGTGCTGTACGGGCTATTCACAATAGCCCGTACAGCTCACGATCATGGCCGAGCGGCTCAGCCGAGCCTATGCATATGCTGAAAGCCGAACCTGGCCGAGCAGCCGGCCATTGGCCGGCCGACAGCCTGCTTCTGACAGCTGGGCAGAGCCAGCCGTAACATCACGGGTGGCTCCGGCCACTTTCAGAGAGATCAGCGTCCCTGGTTACCTGCTAACCAGGGACACTGATCTCCAAACAGCTAACTCTCCCTGGCGCCCCGGGAGTCTCCTGCTAACGGCCGCCAAGGAGAGAAACCCCGCTGTGTCTCTTTTTTCTTTATTCTGACACAAGCGATATCAGAATAGAAAAAAAAAAATGTTCATATTGAAAAGCATTGGGACATTACTATTGGTTATTTCAATTTGCAATAGCCAAAAGTAAACTAGCATTGTACCCGCCCTCTGCTGCAGTTCCCCATCAGGTCCATCAGCAGAGGGCGGATACAATGCTAGTTTACTATTGGCTATTGCAAATTGAAATAGCCAATAGTAATGTCCCAATGCTTTTCAATGGGAAAATTTCTTTTTTTTTTTTCTTCTATTCGGAGATTGCTCTTGTCAGAATAAAGAAAAAAAAAAGACACAGCAGTGTTTTTCTCTCCTTGGCGGCCGGGAGAGTTTTTTTTTCTTCTTTTTTTTTTGACAGCAGCAGAGCCGCCGGACAGTAGGAAACTATTGGGCGGAGCTAGCTGTTACTGCTAGCTCCGTACAATCGTTTTCTATTTACTTTTTTTTACTTTTTTCACTCTTTTTCTGTTCTGCTCGGTCCCTATGAGGGACCGAGCAGAACGGCATTCGGCTATTCACTCACTGCTGTTCGGGATCTTTAAGAATAGCCCGAACAGCAGTGAGTGGATCGGCTGAGTCGAACTCCTTCTGCACTTCGGGTCGGCCAAACATGCTGAGCATGTTCGGCTGACCCGAAGCCACACGAAGCAAGCCGATGTACGGCTGATTTCAGCCGATGTACGGCTGGAATCAGCCGTACCAGCCTGAAGTAAATAGCCGAACAGTGCTCGACTCACTTCACTTCAGGTCGGCCATTCACACGGCTGCCTACGGCAGCTTAGTGAATAGAGCCCTAAATGTATAAGAATAAAAACAGTAACTAATCAAGTCACCATGAAATTCTAAGATAGTGTAGTTGTCTAGTAGAACATTTTTTGAAGGTAGTAATGCAAATGTTTAGGTCTTGTGGGTCAAACTTTCAAGAGACTCAGAAGAATTTAGGATTCTCATCTTCCTTTTGGAGAACATGCATACCTTCCCTGTTTTAATACCACGGAAATAAGTCTCACCAGTGCATATTGGGCAACATGAACCAGGCGGTGTAATCTGTTCTGAACGAGGGCAGCTGAGAATAGGGCAGGGTCTATATTCACACACCCATGTTAAGTCCTAAGGAAAAACCATGAAATACAAAAGTGAGGCAAAAAAAACATACACAGGCTACTATGATAATCAGGCTATAGAGTTTAGTTTTTGTACCTTGCATTGACAGGTGTAACAGGGGTCATTGATGGCTTGTATCTCACTTCCCACCAATAAGTTTGTGCAGTTGCTTAGAGCCTCTAAATCAGAGTAAATCAGAGACACTGGTAAGTCATGGCTTTATACTTTCAACAACATCAGGTGATTAGACTTTGAAACTTACGGGCACAGCTGGCACAGCACTGGCCAAAAGCAGGTGGCAACATTTGATTTTTGGGACAATCCAAGAGGCTGGGGCACTGCTTTCTGTTGCAACGTCTGTATTGCCGGCCATCTGGTAAACGCTATACAGAGAGTGAAATTTTGATTGTTATAGTGTACTCATAACTATAGGAACCTTTTTGTAGCTTTCTAAAATTCAGCTGTTGCATACAAGTATATCGATTTCTCACCTCACATGTGCAGATCTCACATGGGTCATCAGAGGGATGGAAACTGTCCCCAGGAACATACACCTTTTTATTGACTACACAGTCTAAAAAGAAATAGGTCAAGTTATACTACAGGTTCATATGAATAATAATAATGATCCACAGATGGAGTACAAATACAGAGGAAAGGGGAGGTAGAACATATGGACCACCAGAAACCCAGAGACAGTGACAGAAAAAAACAGAAATATAGCTCACTAGTACAAGATTCAGATACAGATTACAAAGTTCAGACAGGAAATGACACTAAGATGCTACATAAGCAACACTCAGAGAAGGTGATAACATATATATATACCTGCACATAGAGGACAGCACTCTCCAGGCAATGTTATCTGACTGCTGCAAGAAGTGATGCATTGTAATTTGGAGCATGTAGTGATGCCATCCACACACATGCATGCCATGCAACGGTCCACACTTGAGATCCAGTTACTGTGGTCTTTGTATTCTCGGCCATTGTAAACACAACCTGCAGAACAAACAACGCAGCATGACCATCTCTCTAAGCATAAAAATAATGTAACATACTCGTTTTAACAATACATAGGAACAGTGGAAGGGGGCCCCATTAAGTGTTGTTGAGGCAAATGAAACATAGAACATGTGAAGATAACACGGTACTGTCATTAAGGGTTGGAGTGGTTGCAGTTGATGACAACCCTAATCCTCTGTAAAGTCTACAGTGTAGGAAAGCTGATGTAAGATGCACAAGAGGAGTCTTTGGGATCTTAGTGTCATTGGAGTCACATCTTAGAGAGAGGTTGTTATGGGTGGCACCCCATCACTTTTTGCTATGGGGTCTCATGATTTGTAGTTATGCCCCTGCTTAGGAAACATTCGTAGACTTCATAGAAAAAAGTGATAGGTGTGTATAAATAGATGCTGACTGCATGGTAATGACTGAAGTAAGAGGATGCTCTGGTAAATCTTTTAAATAGTAATTTATCCAACAATGAACCCCTAAAGTTGGCAGGTGTGAGGCTCCCATAAAGCTGAAGTGATCATATCTGCCATATCATTATGTCTGGATACATATGGGCTATTATACAATACATTACCATAGAAGACACCAATAGAACACTACTGTCAGACAAACTTTGATATATTGGTTTGGATACGTCAGATGACTCCCAATAGTTTTGCACTGACTTTGCAATTATAAATACAGTACCTAGACTTACAGCTCATTCATGCTTTTAGGGACTAGATGTCCATGTCTATGTATTTTTGGAGATGAAAGAAAGGGATTTGTATTTGGTAACATTATTGCTTCATATACTATTATCATAAACCTGGGTACACTGCCGAATGACCTTTTCTATTGTCCCAACAGTATAGGTTCTGAGGTGTGCATTTAAGGTTAATGTCTGTTAATGTGAAAGCAATCATCAACTAAACAGGGCCAGATTTATTCTACATTGCCTCGTTTGTCAACCGTCTTGTGAAGTCCATCTTCCACCCAAACAACATGCTAGCCTTAGTACCACATAGTAATGTAAGACAAGGCATTATAGCCACTTACCAAGTCTGGGGGCAGATACATCAAAAGAGACTGTTTGCCCACTGTGCATCTGTACACCTAGATCCAAAGACTAGAAGAGTATGGCAAACTGTAACTCTACTCTGATAGCAATTAAGTTCTATGTATGGACCCAGAGTGGGTGAAGTGTACCAAATTCAAATTGTGCACAAACAACAACATTGTAAACTATAATTGAATGTGTTTTGTGTGTTAGGATTGTTTCACTTGTAGTCCAGAACATTTCTGCATATGAAAATTGTTTTCTTTTGTTTTTAAATCCTCTCAAATTATTTAAAGAGGGTATGAATTATCCATGGAATCTACTAAATATAATACTGATTAAATCCTAGACTTTCATTTCATTTCTTTGGTCTTATGGCACTTGCAGCTATTAAGCAAGGAATGGCTTAAGTTGAGACTTACCTCTACAGCGAGGACAGCATGCTCCAGGATCTGTGACTTGCTGTGTACATGGCAGAGAAGGACATGTGGGAGGCTCACATTGTACACGACCTGACTGTAAGGAAACACAAAATGACACATGTCAGCATATGAAATGGTCCAACATATACTGTGAGCAGCACTGTCTGACTCTGGGGAATGTGAAAATGTTACATTGAAATGCACCATGTTTGTCATGCAAGTTTAGGTTTTCCATCATTCCAAAAACAGAACTAATGCCACATATTAGTCTATAAATGACAAAAATCCAGAAGTTCTATTTGTGCACTGATACTTACTTTACATGTACACTGCAGACATGGATCTGTGGGAGGCACCCAGCGTGCACCTTCGCTGTATTCTTTCCCTTGGTACCAGCAAACTGACACATAGAGGCAGATGAAAAAAGTATACAGTAAGTTTCTTAAAGGGCTTGCAGCATGTAGCAAATAATAATGCGATTATAGCATCACAATAAGCAAGGCAATACATTGCATTTATACTGGGGATAATCTATTAGGAGAGCGGTTTATAATTCCTCTTTACCCAGAAAGAAATCTAAATATGTGAACAGGCAAATTTGAGCTGTGCTGATATAATACAATCTTGATAGTATCAGGGAAATAACATTTCTAAACAGAGCTCCCTATAAAGCAGTCTTTTGTTTATAGTATTTCAATGCAGCTGACCTCTAAAGTCAGTGTTTGGCATGGAAAACTGTGGGACAGTCGACATCCCAATACTTGTGTTTTTCCATTCACGGTCTGTCTTAATAAACCTTTTCTGAAAATGTAAGTTAAAGATATGGCACGCTGTCTGAATGAGAAATCATCTTTTCTAAGCCTGGAGAGCTAGATTATTTGACACCAAGGGTAACTTCCTTTCAGTGGGGATTAAGGATCTGGGTACTCTAGGCCTGAGAGTGCCTAATTCTGAGACTGCCATCATTAAATAAACAAGGTCTGCTGTGGTTTCCAAAGAGTTCAGTTGTTAAATCTCCACTAAACGTATGTTTTTCACATGCAGTCCAGTAGTGATACAGGGGTTGGTTTACTAAAGGCACATAGGCTCTCCCCACCTTAAGGTACCTAAACAGATCCTCAAGAGCTGTTCACTTGATGGGTGATGTTCAGGCAGAGACAGTCACTCAGTAGCTCTACCCAAACACAGTTCTCGCCTTTAGTCAGCACTTACATTAACCACTACCACTGTAGATTATAGGTAAGTATAGCACAACATTTCTTAGTAGTTTGGGTTACTGAGGTGTGTGTAAAATAGTTTAGGTTTTTGAAATGGTTTGGGCCCATTCTAAAGGTATGTTGGAATGCCCCTTTTCAAGCTCTTACATCTGCCCCCTCTTCTGTTCTAAAATCTGTGGTCAAAACTGTATTCTGTACTTCCATGAAAGCTCTGGCAGCTGTAGAAGGTACATCAATGCCACTGACAGCTTCAACAACCCATCAAGTCCCACAGTAGTTTTAAGAAAGGGGATTAGTGACATTGAGGAAGAGTAGGCACAGAAGCAACGGGTGGGAGGGCTGGTTTGCATAAATTGTAAGGGTTCAGCTGGTATGTATGGTAAGGTTGCAAGTTTTCAAAATGAAATCCGGGGACACCCTACTAACCACGCCCTCTTGTAACCACACCCCTAAAATGACACCCCCATTCGTAGCCACACCCACAAAATGATGCCCCCTTTTAAGCATGCCCTGAAACAATTGGTCACAGACTTCTGGCAGAAGAAGCAGACATTGAAGATGTAAAGACAAAGTGCTCTGGGCACTATAAGGAGTGAAAAAATTCAGCGTGCAGTGTGCAGGGGTCAGGAGTAGGTAACACATGGAATAAAGAGGTCAGTAGCAAGAAACACATGGAGTACAGGGGTCATGAGTAGGTAAGGCATGGAGTACAGGGGTTATCAATAGGTAACGCTTGGAGTACAGGGGTCATTAGTAGGTAACACATGAAGTACAGGGGTTATGAGTAGGGGACAGTAGCAAGTAACGTAGAATTTAGAGCTAAGTAGTAAGTCAAGCAGGGTTTAGTACTAACGCAGGGTTCCGGGGTTAGTAGTAAGTTACACAGGGTTCAGGGGTCAGTAGTAAGTAAGTAGCAAGGCGAGTCCTAGAGGCAGCCATTACAGCATGTACAAAACTGGCTGTATATGACTGCAATTCACTGCTCCTGGGGCTGCCACCAGGGACCATTGTTTCCCGGGGACAGACATCTCGAAATGGGAACTGTCCCCAGGAAATGGTGACTAATGGTAACCTTAAAGTATGAAGACCAAGTAACACTTTGTGAAGCATCTTGATTGCAAAAGGCATCAATCTAATAGTTCCTCTATTTTGTTGCTGACAACACCACATTAAGCAATTTTAGATTCTTTCATTTGTACATGTGCTGACAATTTTCAAATTAGATCCAGTGATATATTGTTGCTGAGCCTATGTGTTTAAAATAATTATTCAGAATACCTTCTAATGGCAAAAAAGTGATCTGTATTAAATAAAAATTTCAAAACCTTTGTTCAATAAATGAATATTAACCTACAATATGAGTCAATATTGATATTGATATATGATGATATGACAAGAAACAGATCTGACTTGAGAAACCACGACTAAAAGAAGAGAAGGGAAGCTATCATATGCTGACCTTTTTTTTTTTTTTTAAATGTCAATTGCCTGGCTGTTGTACTGATGCTATTGCTTCAATAGATCAAGTAGGAACATGGAAGTATGCAGTAAATGAACTCAGAAATTCTTATCTGCATGCTTGTTTAGTGACCTAGAAAGTATGTGAACCAGAAAGTACTGAAACCAAAGGATCAGCATGACAGACAGGTAACTGGCATTTTCAGAAGGCCCAAACAGTTTTCTCCTGAAGGTCTTTATATGGGTTTAGTGATTGTGGAATATAAATTAAGTAGTTATGGCCTATCTACAGCTTACTCCACACCCATAATTTGGACACAATATCCATCTTGTGCAATATTCGACTATCTTCTTTGCACCCTTGCACACAGCCTATGACATATTTTAATCCCAGTGCAGCAATATCATACCTGGGCACTCCCTGCAACACTGGCCAGGCTTACTAACTGGGTTGGCACAGAAGATCTGAGGGCACACAACATGTGTGCATGTCACGCTGCCATCTAGGCACACACATCTCCGGCATGAGTCAGATAATGCATTAAAAGTCTGGCGATTAGCATATTCTTTGCCTTCATAGAGACAGCGGTCACATACAGGGCAGCAAGGAGATAATGGGGAAGACACAGGGTGACTGCAGTCTTGAGCACATGGAACCCGCTGACAGTTTACCATCTCATTCTGTTAGGGAGAAAAAATATAACATTTTAAACAAAACCAAATGTATACAAAAATTTGCAAATGTTTCTGTGTTAGAAACCGGATAGGGAGAAATATGATGGAACTATAGCTGGGAGACTGCTTGGATCTGGACACAGCCCATGTTATTAAAAATAACACCTTTATGGAGCACCCGTAGTTCTCTAAATATAACAGCTTTACAGATCTCATCTGTCCCATATTGCTCTGCCCTTTTTCCTCCACATCTGTACTAGAGTGAAGCTATATAGACAAATATACTATGTAGCTACCAAAATTGAGGCTATTGCTTTTATGTTTATGTCCATCAGATATATGACTTCATTGCTTATTTGCAAGCACTAGATTGAAATTACCACTAATGTTACTCATAAACTTTAGAAATAATATGGGTTCTGTACACTCTGTGCTACTAATGTTAGTTCAGATAGCTAAGGGTGTAACTTCCAGATACCTTGAAAAAAGTGTGAGTATACGTGAGTAACGGTTTTTGGTGACCTAGATATGTGATGGCTGGTTTGTGATTGTATCTTTACTATAATAAAAACATACTCACAGATGAAAGTGCTCACATTATTTTTTGATGGAAAGGATAAGTATATAACTATATCCATAGCAGACCATATAACTGCTATTGAGCCCCCAGCGCTGCTTGGCTACATTGTGATTTATGCATCCACCAACAGAATTTGGCAATTACATTTGGAATGAATGAATGCATTAATATTTGGGGAACCTCTAAACAATTTGGTAAGCTATTTGTATTCTGTATTTCTGGAGGAATTACCTTTCAGATGGAGAAGGGAAAGGCAGGAAACCTTTAAAGGTTATGTTATGGGGCTCCAAAGAGCTGACAGTTATAAGTGTCTCTAAACACATGAAATGTGTCTGTTGTGCATAATGTTTGATTGCCTGCTTGTTATTATTTCTAAAATAATAAAGCTGTACAGATGTGGCTGCAATTATTTTTGCACCTTTCAAGACAATTATCTTTCGGCACATATATAAAAAGGCCCAATAAGGCCCATCAGAGCATCTTCTGGTAGACTAAATGGCCAGTCTGGCACTGCATTTATAAAGTTGGACTCACCCTGCAGGAACACTGAGTGCACACATCCCCGGGTAACTGGAAGTTGTCACCATTCTGATAGGTGCGTCCATTGTGCTTGCATATACCAGTGCAGCGTGGGCAACAAGCTCCTGGTGGTGTCACTGGGTGTAGACATGAAACAGCTGGACATGGAAGTGACACACAACTCACTTCTCCGTTCTGTAAAACAGAAAAAAAAAATTCAATAGGGCATAGCAGAGGGATGCTAACATTTTACAAATACTGTAAGTATACTTAAATAGCTTTTACGTATAATTTGTTATAAATATCACTTTTCTCATAAGCAACACCTATCAGTGCATGTGGTTTTATTTATCAAAGTTTTCATCATTGACATCAATAATGACTTGCGAAACAGTTAAAGTGACATTAAAGTCAAAAAAATTTTCCCTCCCCCCCATGTTAATGTCAGCACTTACCTCAATGATGTCTATTATTCCGATCTTCTTCTTCTTTCCTCATGTTTTCATCTGTCCCTCCAGCGGTGTGGCGGCTCTCCGATCCAGCGCTGACTGCTCTGTCTCTCCGATCCAGCGGTGTCTGCATGCAGGTGCACGCGTCCATACACTTACCTTGCGTCTCTGCTCGTCTCCCGGCCGAGAATCCGAACTGCGCATGCGCCCGCCCCAAGATGCTTTGCGGCCGCCCGAACAGTTTCGTTTAGAACCCCTTTAAGATCCCTTACTGCTTCCAGTGATTGCCTTACCCTACAAGTACAGCGGCTACATTCATCCTCAGGGTCTGGAAAGCTTTCTCCATTGAGACAGTCTTGGCCATTATAGTTACATCCATCACACACTGGACACATGCATTGATCCTCTCCGGGGTGAGGACAGTTTACTTTTTCACAGGCCTGAGGGACACAGGTGACATGCCCTCGCTGAGAATCAGAAAAAGACATGCAACTAGTTTACCATTACAAAATTATTGAAGATATCACAGTATTTCTTTGGTACCATGGGTGTTATAGCTTCCTTCACTTACCATGCAGCGGCACTGCTCACATTCACTTTGTGAAGAAGTGAAAGCCTCTCCATCAAGGTAATTTCGGCCCTGAAAATGACAACCTAGAAACAGAAAGACTGAATCACTAATCTAAGCCTATTAGCTATCCGTCACTTCATACTAGGTACAATACTCCAATGGACATCTCTGATCAAAAAAGATAACATCCAAACAGTCCTCAGAGGTACATGTTACCCATGTTGCACTGGCTGGCTTGAGAAGCTCTTATTCATAAGAATGCCCTACTGTGCTACATACTTATTAATATTCTTAAATATTGAAATTGAATCTGACAGTTACAGTGTTAAACAGATAAACACCTTCAGGCTGCAGTGGCTAACATCAGTTGGGAACAAAACTATCAGTAGCAGCAGAGATTGAGAGCAACCAGCCATGCCTAGTGTCAGCTACTAGAGGATGTTTTTTTAAAGTATCCACAGCATAATGCTGGGGAAAGTTAATATTGTTTTTCTGGTGGGGAAGACATTTTCTATATGGTTTCCCTTATCTTTAAAAACTATACTAATCCTTTTTTCAGACACATTTAATCAATAATCACCTTGGCACAAAGGACAATCACAAGGCCCAGTCACAGGATGAGGACAGTTCATTGGAGGACACAGCTTGCGGACACATTGCACAGATCCAGACTAAAGAAATTATGAATATGTTATTCTTAGTAAGGAGACATGATAAACTAATCACTAGGTATGTGAATGTAAAGTAACTCTGCCACTTTAAACATAAAGAGAGCTGCATCTGACACAGCCAAATGCTAGGAAAGCTCCAACACTTCAAGCTAATGTTGGAGTTCCCCCCCTCCTCCCACATTGCTATTGGCTACTCACTATGATGAGGTACCTCACTGGCAAATAGGGAGTAAGGTGGGCAAGGTCTGTCACTACAAGTAAGTGTTATAGCTCTGCCTGTTCCAACGGTTGGTATTCGGCTGTAGCAGATATGAAGGGGACCTGCCACAGGTGCTTGCACTTTATACCTCCTAGTATTTATCTCTTATTTATTTATTTTTATATAAGGTGTAGTTAATACCTGGTCCCCTGCTGCATGCTGTGGTTTCTCCCACCAGCTCTTAAATCAAAACAGGAAATAGGGGGCCGTGGGAGGACCCAGAGTGCACCGGGGTGGACCAGGTATTCAACACACCCAGAAGTGTTGGAAACCAGAGGCAGCTGAAAATCTGCAGCACAGGGCAGGCTGGCCTTACATTAATTCCATGGATTACTGACAGGGTTGTTTTAGGACTTCTCACATTCATAAATATAATGATATGACAGATTATACTTACCCTGCAAGTACACTCAGAACAGGATGGGTTGGAAAGATCAGGGACAGATCGACCATTTATCATATCCACTCCATTATAAGAGCATCCTGAGAAAGGTAACATGACAACACATGATATAAAAAGTTCAGCTGACCCAACTAAATGGATGCTTTTTTTGGTCAGAATTAGTAAAAAGACAAAGGTTGATTTTTTATTATGTCTCAAAAACATTTTCTCTGTCCTGTTGCTTGACAACATGTAGTTAAAGGACAGCACATAGCAAACAGAAGTAATATAAAGTCTAGCTGTTTAGACAAATAAAGCAAATATTTATTTATAAGCTGTGGGCTTTTGCACATATGTACAATTTATACCTAAGGCAGGCAATATCTAATGCACTGTAACAGTAAAGACAGACATTTAGATTGATACTGCAGTGTATAGGGCACAAATATCCCAATGAAATACATGTTGCATGGGGTGCTTGCAATGTGACTTCTATCTGGGAAAAGAAATTAGATTTCTGGAGTCATTCTGCACACCAATAGTGTACAAAATGCCTGCAGGTTGCCATATTGCAAAGATACAATATTTGATTGTTTTAACAGCTTTACAAAAGTAAAATGTCTGTATATTGAAATGGAAATGTACTTTTTAATATCAAATACAGTGTACAGTAATGTTATCTGTTATCCTAATCCTTTCAACACTACAAGGAATTCTGACAGATCTCATTCATTTACAAGTGATTTGACTGTCAGTTCTAATCCTGCATATTTGAAGTGGGAATACATTTGATTTGGCATCTGATTTAGGTAAGGAGATAGCAGGGAAACCAGATATCACAATTAATAGTTAAAGTTTACTTTTTTGCAGATCAGCTCTTATTACAGTAATAAAATGGAAAAAAGACATGACTGCAATAAGACATATTTAATATTTGAATCACATATCTGTTGTCCTGCTATGCCCTTCTCAACAGCTCATTATAAATACAGGATTTACGCTAAAGCTTTATTACAGATAGTTACTTATCTCCCTACATCTTCTAATGCTCAGTGGAATGTTCTGATTTGGATTCAGTGATGGCCATGAGACATAGTTATCCACAGAATATGATAGGTACGACACAGAGATTTGTTCTCATAAAAACAAAATTGAAGAAACTAAAACTGTTGAATGACAAAGACAGATATATTTCAATCAGATTCTAGCTGTCATTTTTCTAGTGGAGGTTAACAAATACAAGGAAACATGTCATTGTTGCACTGGTATTCATTACGCCTTGCATAAATGTACCCGAGTCAGGGTGGTGTGGTTTCTGGCCTTATTACTTACCATCACACACAGGGCAGCATTTTCCTGCAGGAGTACTAGGGTGAGAACAGCCAGGTTTATAACAAGGCTTCTTACTACAGGTGACAAAGCCATCGGCACAGACACATCGACTACAGGAGTCCTGGGGAGATGAAAATTCCTGGCCATTGAGGTAGACTTCGCCTAAGTACTGGCAGTCTGTGGAAAAAACAGAATACACTCATTGTATTTGTCACTAATTATTACCTACAGTATTTACTGTTTCAGTCATGTTATTACAGGTTTTTTATAAAAGAACAGTAGTGATGGATTTTTCTTCCAAGACAATTCAAAAGCCTAAAAATGTAAACAGTAAGACTAAATTGTGTATAAAATCAAAGGTCATAATGGTCAACATAAACTATGAGTAAACAATGAAGAAAGGGATAAAAGTAAAGCTTCTTCCTGTATGAAGAACAGAACCAAGAGACAAAGAGAAATAAGAGAAGATATGGAAAAGGGGAACAGAGAGAGAAAAGAGTAAAAGAGCCCAGATCGAGTGGGGTGAATCCTTTTTTCACACATCAGGCTATATTGCCAGCAGAAACCTGTATCAGTGAAATCGAATCAGATTGATTGATTTGTAGTATGCTTGCTAGAAGATTTCAAGAAATGTTCTAACTTAGTCACAAATTCAATGTAGGAAATTAATTTCTGAGGAGCTTTAGAATGTCATTAGATTTTGTCATTCAATAAACTTCACATATTTGAGCAACTGAGTTAAAGGGGCATAAATGTTGTTCCGAAATCTCTGACCCTTTCAACAAGTTCATCATACTTTGAACATCATGCCTATGTGCTCATATCCTCTAAAATAGTTAGATGATGCTTGAGGAATAAAAGAAGCAATCACAAATGTGAAAAGTACCACATCAATAATAGTTTGTGGCCTACTTCTATGACAAATTTCTGAGCGGTAAGTGAGCTGTAGTAAACCTTGTCTAGGTCAAGATCTTATTTCCAAAACCTTATGAATGGCATTGTAGTTATATTGCCTGAGCCCTGTTGCTAATAATATGTAGCTTGACTATATCTGAGTATCTCTAATTCAGGAAACTCATGTTTAAACTGATAGAATCCCCTTCTATGGATTTCATGGTTCTAGACAGACAATGTCTGCTGGAAATCTCTGTGACCATTTGGAGACTGATGTTCTTCACAGAAATAGAAAAAACATTTAACTACACTTGTGGAACATATGAACACTATCAGAATCGGAGACAAACATTATAGTGCGGTCTGAAATTAAGGCAAGCCCAGGTTGTTCTCTTACTATCCAATGTTCTCAAATTTATAATGTATGGGAAACCTTAGGCTGGCCAAACAACTTCCAACCCCATTAGAACCCCTGGGAACCACAAATATAATATGATATGATATGTACGTGATCACCACAATCTAAGCAATCACTCATGAGTTCAAATGACCACCAGAATTCGGGCTGATTGTTGAAAGAGTTCTATCGATCGAATGTGCCTCTTGATTCACAAAATTTCAATTTGATATTTTATTTTAATAAGTGCAAACATTTCTGTCTATACAGTTGGAACGATAGCTTCAATAAAGTATATTAGAAGGAAGGTTGAAGGAAAACTGCGATCGGATTGTCCTTTACATACAATCGTGGTCATTTTGATCCCATCTACTTACAATACATCGAAATCACCATTTTGTGTCTTTGCTTTGCAGTTTTCACAGAAAACAGAATATAAAGTTTGACTGTTTGATCAAATAGCCATGTGTATAGCCAGCTTAAGGGTGCAATAATTAAAGGTATATTAGAGACATTTGTGGATAAGAAAGGCAGATAAAAGACAGGAGTGGAATGGAAATATGGTATTTGTAGAAGAAAAAGATGAAATCCAGATGAAAATTTACAGCAAAGTCTAAGCAGGCTTTACAGCATAAGTAATATTATTCACCTTTGCATTCTTTGCAGCACTGTCCAGAAGCTGGATATGGACAATTGAGGACAGGGCAAGTTTTGGGTTGACAGTTGATGCTTCCCTCCCAGCAAACACACATTGAGCATGGATCTAAAGGCTGGGTAAACTGCTCACCATTCGCTAGTTCTTTTCCCGACAGAAGGCATCCTAAAGAAAGTTCATGTGTGTCAATCTATGATGTTATTTAATTCCCAGACAGCCTTGGTATATGACATGATACGTGAGGTATTTGTGGTTAACAAAAACATACTTACCAGTATTGTCAGTGTGCAGATGTTTTAACATCTTACATTTCAAATTTGTTTTACTAATACTGTATGGTCTAGAATACCAGAAGCAGGGAACTAACTAACTAAATTGATTAACTGCTTTATTAAAGTATATCTAAAGCCAAAACGTTTATTATTTTGCATAGAGTAGGGGAGGGTGAAAACCACCGTCAGTTTTTACTTTGTCATCCATGTCTAAGTAGTGAGATTTTCCTTCACTTCCTGTCCTATAGACTTAACAGGAAGTGAAAGGATATTTTTCCAAAGTAAGAGATATTTCCTTTTAGACTATTGCCATTTTTAGACTATTGTCATTGAAACAAATGTCTGCATTAGAGGATTTCCTCTCTATTCCTGAGAGCCACCTAAAGTTTTGAATTTCCCCTCACTTTTATTTCTGGTGACATTGGTGGTCAGGGCATTTAGGGAGCGTGACAGGGACAAAGACAGTAATAAAAACCTTATAGGGGTTCTAAACCCTCAACATTTTATCTTTAGTTATACTTTAAGGGTAAACTCTGGGCAAACAGCTAATATACAGTTAAATCCATATATTTTACTGTCCAAGTACTTGTATTTCTACGTAGCCAATCTGGGTGATTAACACATATTCCACATTTATTCCACACCGCACATAAGCTATAGAAAAGTGAAACATGTATTTCCTGATTAAGCATTTTATTTTTAAGGTTCAAATTTTTATGTCACCTCTCCACACCCAGCTTTATCACTGGACAGTGAATCATCACTGTCGTGTTCAGTAAGCAGGTCCAGGAAGAAAGTGATTCTAGGATCTCTAAAAGGTTGATTATTCCATCATTATTTGCAGTATCACAATGATGACTGCACAGTATTTTGACACAATAGCATGGGCCTCCATCAACACCTGATGAACATTTTCAAACTCTTAGAGCCACTATTCAATTCAGGTTCCAGTTGAACGTGATGTTTGTGGTTCAGCGAGATTTGAATATTAAGGGTGAATCCCACTCCAATTTTACTGTTTTTTAACCCTTTCCCTGCCACTACTGTATGGCATATGATGGCTTACATGGGAAAAGTCGACTGTTGGCTTTACACGGGAAGTGATTTTTATTCTACATGGTCTCTGCTTTTAGGAAATACATAAATTGCATTTAAGTAATCTTCAGGACTAAAGATGCAAAAACAGCTCCAGCAGTGAAAGGGTTAAGGCATCCCCCATTTTATTTAAAGTGCTTGTGTATTTTCAGTGTTGCTCTTTAAGCCACATGAAAAGACCCTCTCGCTGTTGAAAGGTATTTAAAAAAATATATTTTTGCCTTAGTTCATTGCAATGCCCAGCTACCCATGCTTCTTTTTTAACAACAGCAAATTATCCATGAAAAAGGGGAAAAAATTAGCACGATTCAGATCCCATAAACTTCAGTAGGGCTTAGTGCTATGTTTGGGGCCTGTGGACTTCCTGATGTGTTTGCCAAACTGGTTCACTCATCTATACTTTCATTATGTTGAATTTGCTTCAGGCAATTGATTCTCAACTGTCCACTGGGCCTTCTGCAAGATATTCTATGGAAAGGGTAGACTTCCATATGTGAAATATAGCCATGCCCAGACCACAGCCCTTTCCACTGCAAGTACACACTGTGGCCAAACTTTCAAGTGTGTGTTCTAAGCAGGGAATAAAACCTGATCTATTAAAAGATCTCTAGGCATATAAATCATTGAGTACATGTTACTATTATAAAAGATGCAATGTTACCATCACATGAACGGCAGCAGTCTCCCTGAAGAGGATGTGTGCAAGGGGTCGGAGCACAAGGCTTGCGTTGACAAGTTACAGTGCCGTTATTACAGATACAGTCTCTGCATTTGTCTGATGGATCATAGAAACGCTGCATGTGTCTGTATGTGATTCCAGAATATGGACAATCTGCTGGTGGTACTGGGGAAACAAAAAAAGGACATATAGTTATTCGTTTTAACATAAACGCCATCTTGCCGGTGAACTTCCACTGCTTTAGCTATCACTGAACAATAACTAAAATGTATGTTACATTGTGCATGAAATCTCAGCCTGATCCATGAATTATATTACCTGGGCACTGAGGGCAGCAGTCTCCTGGCACAGAGTATGGCTCACTGCAGGCAAGCGGAGGGCATCGCTTTGTTAGGCACTGCACATTACCATTCTGCAGACAGACACAATTTTGTCATTTATGAGTAATCATTTCATAAATCATTTCAGTAATCATTTAATTTCATAAAAGAGAGGTAACACATCAAGCTACAGAAATTGAGTGTAGAAAAACGAAAGAAAAACTGAATATGACACTTTCATAGGTGTGCGTAGGGGGTGTGCCTGGGCACACTCTAATCACCCCAAGAGCAAAACCAAACCGCAACAGCAGGCACCATGCTTTTAGTTACTGAAGCGATGGGGAGATCACAAAGATCTCTCTGTGACCAGTTCAGCGATACAGAGTGCAGCAGCATTTGCCACTTACATTCATCACACATACACACACACATATGTACTTTTGTGTGCACCCCTAATACAATAGGCTGTGCATGCCTATGGTGACTTTACATCTGTAAACTTAAAGAAAATACCCAGAGAACTGAAAAGAGAGGTTAATGGTAAGCTCACATTAAAGAACAAACAGAGTTTTGAACGTTAACCTGATAAATAATTACTAAGAAAATATTACAGAGTAGCTTGCATTACAGAAAGATGGGTCAAAATGTACCTACAGGATGTATTTTACTTGATCCAGCCGTTTACAGTTGAAGCAGAAAGCAATCACATTTATATTATCTCCTTTTACCATGACAGATATCCTACTTCTGGCCAAAACGTCTTAGTTAGGCCAGCGTTGGGGATCTTTGTTGTGTGCCCCTCCTCCAGCCAATTCAAATGTGCATGCTTATGAAAAGATGTTTTGTATGAAAGGTCTTTTGGTGGTCCTAACAACACCCAATACCATTCAATATCTTTAGGCACCTTACGTTAGTACTCACAATGCAGTGACATTGTCTGCACTTGTCGGTGGGATGGGGGAAATCTGCACCATTAGGATATTCCTTTCCAGCATAATTACAACCTGTACAAGATTAAAAAAAAAAAACACATAACAATCTGCAGAGTGACATGTCTACTCATTTTATTCTATTACACTATAGTATATTCCATTGTAATCCCCTTCTCTGTCAACTATTTCTGTAGCTATTTTCTCATTATTGAATCAATGGCACTGGAAAAAAAATAAAACTTATTTATGAATGTTATATACTACATTTCTGTCAGCTGCTTCCCAAACACAACAAGCTCTTCACTGTGTTTCTTTGTATCAGCTAATGACACTTCCCTGTGGTATTGTGCTGCACTCACACTAATGCCGGGGGTATTGTGCTGCACTCACACCAAAGCTGGGGGTATTGAGCTGCACTCACACCAATCCTGGGGTATTTTGCTGCACTGACACCAATCCTGGTGGTATTATGCTATTCTAAGACCAATGACGAAGGAATATTTAGTAAGTAAACTGTGGTGCTATAAAGTAGAAAATAGCACCACAATTTACTTTCTAAATATTTCTTTTCATGATTGAGAGTGTGGCATAGACATTTTGTTTTATATATCTGGCGCTCTCAATTTCTCAAAAGAACATTTGGCCACATTAGGCTGAAAAAGTTGCCTATCCCTCCTCTATAGCAAATATTCAGATTTCTGCACTGGACACAATTAATTAATTAAAATGTAAAACTGTTGTATTTGGCTGGTCCATTGAAAGACAATTCAGGTCAGGGCACTTATGAAACAATTTGAAATGGTCCATTTTTAAACACATCTAAAATGATGGACAATTGCATGTTATCATATAGTCCCCAATGATCATTGACCTGCCGGCACCAATATACACAATACTCACCATTACAGTTGTTGTTACAGCAGGTTCCCGGCAATGGATATGAACACTGTGGACCTGGGCACCCTCTGTCGGCACATTTCACTTGCCCCTCCTGGCATCCACATTCCTGGCACTTGTTATCTGGGTTGGTGAACTGCTGTCCATCCAAGAAAGTATTGTCATAGTAAACGCAGTCTGAGCAGTGTCACCAACATGTAAACATGGAAGGAGTACATAAAGAATGAGAAAAAAAATAAGTAAAACTGACCACATGGCATACTTTAATTAACCACTGAAACAGATGGCTTACCTGGGCACGTGGCACAGCAGTGGCCAGGTTTTTTTTCTGGTCTAGAGCAAGACACAGCTGGGCACACGATGGGAGTACACTGGACTGTTCCATCCTATACACAAGTCAGTGTGTTAGAAATGTCCATATCCCATACCCTTCTACCCATAGAAAGAATTATCCATAATAATTTCAGTTTGTAATTGATACATTTAAATTGTACATGCTTCAAATGCAAGATACGGAACTGTTGGAACTAGTTCGCCCCTTTAGATACACCACCTGGTATCTGGAAGGGGTACTCCAGGGTTCTTTAGGAAAATTTACCATTACGGAATAACTGACAGGGATATCAAGGGAGATGGGCTGGACACGAAGGAGATGTCCCTTTAATCAGTCTCTAATCTATGCCAACACGTATGTATATTTTGCTCTTCAACCTTTTAAAATGTCTGGATGGGGGATGTGGAGGAGAGGCCGCGAGGAGGAAATGGGGAGACAACGGGATGGGTCCTGCGAGAGGAGGCTGCAAAGGTTAGTGAGTCTTAAGCTGCCAGTGTGAAAAAATGTTTAGCAATGTCTTCAATATGCTAAATAGGCTTGTTTTTCTTTTATTCTCTATGTTTATTTTAATTTTTATTTTATTTAGCATTGTCTGTTTTTTTTTTTTACTTGACAAGCAGATAGATATGCCAAGTTATCTGGATATAGAAGAAAATGGGATCCAACATAATCAATAGGGGGAGGTGGAAGATGACCTAAATAATAGTATCTGATTGTTCCTCCTAAATCCCCCTACTGAATCAAAGATGAGGTGAACTCTTTCTGCAAACTCCTTTGTGATTGAACCTGATCTTGAGATTCACGACATTTGATCAACCCTTTTTCACTTTTACTTTCAGTTTTTAATTTCATTTTCAAGTTAACTTGTGCATTATAGGTATAGGTGCGAGACTGAGAAGGTTTGCATATTATCAGACTCTTATGCTTGTTATACGGTTTGATACAGGTAGACCACACGCGACTTGGTGAAAAAACCATGGGAAACAAAACCA